GTTTACTTCCCAAGGGCAGAAAGCAAGGGAGGGGACTGACAAGTTTCCTATGATTTTCATATAATGTTTTATGATAAAAATGTAATGCCACATGGGCCTCCCTGCATTTGAAGAGCAGGTTTTCATTTATATGTAATTTTGGGATAAAAATTAAGTTTGTAATTTTTGTCACTTAGCTAATATTGATCCAATAGGTAGCCGTGTCACTTAGCAAGGGTACATGGAAAGAACAAAAGCATTTTTGGCAAAGGATGAATCCCGGATACTCTGGTCGTTCGCCTGAGATAACCAATGGCTATCTGGACTCACTGGATTGGGTGGTACTAATTACAATGCAACTTCATGTTGTTTGTCCCTTAGGAAGGCATGAAGCCCCGGCCAGTGTGTCTTTAGCTTGAGACCTGGCCTCCTTCAGCTGTGCCTTCAGCCACTTCCTTGAGAACTCAGTCATGCTCTGACTATACATTAATTTGTCTAACTTAGCTGCCTATAACAGTGTTGATATAGGGGAAATAAAGGTAACTCCCAACCTGCTAGATGTCTGATATATTGAGCTCATATTCCCCAAAGTCAAAGAAAAGGGTAACAAGTTAAGAGTAAGAAAATTTTACTGAGAGAACTCCTGAGAGACCAGAGGGGACCCCAAAGGAGATTGCCAACAAGGCTACTTCTCAAAGGAAGTTTTATAGAGCAAAATCATGAGGTGGGTACAATGTGGGTCACACCTATGGACAAGCAATAAGATTACAAGTATAGTAATTTACGTAATATCAATCCAATGGGGAAACGGATCATGTAGCAAGTGTAAATGGAAACAATAAGGACCTTTACAAGAAAGGGTCAATCCAGAGGCCTCGTCACCCCCTGGGTAACTGATGTCTATCTAGACCTTTTTGAACCATGTGATACCAACTAGAATATAACTTTCAATTTACTGCTTGTTCCTTGGGGAAGCGTGTAGGTCTGATCATTCCATCTTTATTTTGAGGCCTGGCTTCAACAGATGTGCCTCCAGCCACAGTTGTGATACATTCTCATCCTCTGAATTAACTCCCTGGAGAGTCCAGCCCTGTCTGCCTACCTATAATATGTTCACCTAATGTAGCTGTCTATGACAGTTTCACCCTTGTCCTTTCTGAACAAGCAGGCAGGAAGTCTCTAAATTCCTGGCCACTCCCCCACTTTGCCACACTTTCACCTGAGGCTGAAATGAAGAACCTATCTCGCCCTTTTAAAGTAAGCATGCAGAGCCAGTGCAGTGACCCATCCCTGTAATCCCAGCATTTCAGAGGTTGAGGTAGGGGGAATCATTGTGAGGTCAAGGTCAGCCACCAGGCCCAGTCCATGGAATTTATTAGAGTTAAAACCTGAGAGGGACAATTGGCACCTAGACCAGAATGATCCTGTCTCTTACAGGGTGTGGTGCTTTATAGGATTGGAAGAGGAAGCTGTAGCTATTTTTGAGATAAGGCTGTTTTGAGATTGGGGTCACTAGATGGCTGGCTTTACCCAAGATGGGAAGGACTGAGTGTTGTTGGCCTAGAACTGTCTATTCTTGGAACAGGGAACTTAAAGAGCATGAAGTATATGAACCTCTTGGAGAGCACACTTGTGTCTCCAGCACTCAGGAGGCTGAGGTAGGATAAATGCCAGCCAGGACTCCACAGCAAGCTCAAGGCCAGCCTGAACTACAAAGCAAAGCTCTGTCTGAAAAAATAATAGAAGAGGTCCAGCCAAATAGCTCAATGGATTAAAGCATTTGCAAGCAGGCACAGGGGCTGGGGGTTCGATCCCCGGGCCTGCAGCGCCAGCCCCGCCCCCAGGGTGAGCTGAGATGGCAATTGAGACTGGGTGTGGTGGCACAAGCCTGTAATCCCAGCTCTTGGCAGGCTAAAAACAGGTGGATCACTATGAGTCCGATCTAGTAGTGAGAAACACCTTGTAGACCCTTCCCTAAAAATACAAATAAAATAAAATAATAGAAGAGTGTTTTCAAAAAGGTGATCTAGGATAGGTATTCTCATTGGCAGGTTACAGTGCAGGTCATCTACCTGCTTTTGAAGAAGAGGAAGGGCAGTCTTCAGGCATAACGAACAGGCCCAGTTCCCAGAATTGATAGGAAATTTTAAAACTGGCAGGAAGAAATTTAACACTATTTTCTATAAGTACAGGAGGAGGGCAAAAAGAGGGGAAAAAAGCCTTGTTTTGAAGCTGCAGCTTTCTTTAAAAGTACTATACAAGCTTACAATCTCAATTCCCTTGCCTCCTTGTAAGAAATAAAGATCTTTTTAAGTGCTCTGCATTGTCAGACCCAACCAGGGTGCAACGCTCTGGGCAGACATGATTCCAGCCAGCTGCAGCTTCCAGCAGAGGGCAGGAGACCAGACAGGAGTCATGTCCTTGGGTGAAGGGAACAGGATGTTATAAAAAGGGACAAGATGGAGAACAAAAACCTCCTCAGCACCAGAGAATCTCATGACATCTATCTGTCTGTATCAGCCATTATGAGAACCTTTATCCAAATGTTTATCCAGACCCCCTCACATGATGCCCTTCTTCCCAGATCCTGTAAAAGCTGCTGTCTTTCTTTGTGGTGGCTGACAGCCTTCTAACCCTCAGCCTGCTTTCGCCCAACCATAATACATTCCCCACCAAGTTGCATGTACCCAAGCCTGCTGTGGGTCTCTTACTTGTATACTCTGTCACACATATTTCATTAACCACTCCAACAAGCTCTTATCATGGAATTAACTGGGGCAGCTAACAGGCATACTGACTGTGAAATGATTCACATCAGAAATAAGATACTGGGCCACTGGGGCCGGGGAGATGGCTCAGTAGGATAAGTGCTTGACCGGCAAATGCAAGGATCTGAGTTCAATCCCTGGTTCCGCCAAAAAAAAAAAAAAAAGATACTGGGCTGGCCAAATAGCTAAGCAGATTGAAGCACCTGCATGCAGGCATAGGGGCTGGGGGTTCCATCCCTGGGCCTGCCCCTGGGGGTGCACTGAGAAGGCAATTGAGAATGGGTGCGGTGGTACATGAGCCTGTAAGCCCGGCACTTGGGAGGCTATAAACAGGAGAATCACTATGAGTCCTATCTAGTAGTAGACCCTGAACACCCTGTAGACCCTTCCCTAAAATACAGAAAAGAAGAGAGAGAGAAAGAAAGAAGATACTGGTGTAACATAAGAGATAACTGCTAGACAAACAAGTTTTCATGAATTATAGTCCCAAAGAGCCAAAAAGTAATAAATAATTACCAAAAAAATGAATGCATGGAGGGAGAAGAGGGCAAAAGGGAAAGGGTGGGGCCGGGGAGATGGCTCAGTAGCATAAGCGCTTCCCTGACAAGCACAAGGGCCTGAGTTCAATCCCTGGTTCTGCGGAGAAAAAAAAAAAAAAAAGGAAAAGGGAAAGGATGCAGGATGGATAGTCTATGATTCACAGATCCCAGGTCATGGGAGATGGAAATACAGAGGTGTGAGTTAGGAATAAAAGTATTATAGACTGCTAAACTAGGTAGAAATACTGTATAGGCAATCAGAGAGGGCCAGGCCCTTGAGGGAGTCAGTGCAGAAGATGAGAACATCAAAGCTGTGTCTGGAGGCACATCTAGAGAAGAGTACAGTCACAATGGCCAGATTTACCTACTTCCCTAAAGAATAGAACAGAAGCTTGAAATGATTGATACCTGACTCTGGAGATTCCCCATGTAAACCATTCTCACTAGGGGTGGGCCATGTTCTCCCACCCACTAAGACTAAGACTGTAGATTATTAACCAAGATTAAGAATGTCACCCACATGCCTTTGGTGCCATTGGATCAATATTACCTAAGTGACTATATTAATAATCTTATTGGTTGATCATAGCTGTGTTTCACCTTAAACCCACCTCACTCTATAAAGCTTCCCCTGTGAGTGAAGTCCAAGCAACCAACCTTCTGGGTTGGTTAGCTCTCAGAAGCTATGTCTCACTCAATAAAACTTGCTACTGTCTTCTTCAGAATTCATTCTTCCCCAATTCAATTTTGGGGAAAATGAATTTGGCACATCAGACATCTAGTAGGTTGAAAATTACATTTATTTTCCTATATAAAAAGCACACAGGGCCGGAGAGATGGCTCAGTAGAATAAGCGCTTCCCTGGTAAGTGCAAGGGCCTGAGTTCAATCCCCAGTTCCACAAAAAAATAAAAATAAAAAAATAAATTTAAAAACTAAAAAGCACACAGCTTCTCAACTATCAATTGCACTTATGGATCAGACACCCTGAAGGAACCAGACTTCACCATTTTAGCCACTTCAGCAGTAAGAAATAAAATGAGAAGAACAACTCACAGAAAAAATATATATAACTCTCTAAACAGAAACACTAAATCTACTGGAAGTGAAAGTAGGTAGAGTTCTTGAAGACATAGGGGGAGGCAGAGAGTTCATAAACGAAAAACAAACTGCCTGGGAAATACTTCCAAAAAATCAACAACTGGGATCTCATCTTATTGAAATGTTTTTGCACATCAAAAGAAATCACCAACAAAGTGAGAAAAACCCTACAAATTGGGGAAAAAACCTTAACCAACACTTACTCAGACAAAGGATTTCTATCTAGAATATATAAAGAACTAAAAAGGCCCCCAAAATTCAAAGACCCAATCCAAAAATGAGTATTTAAGATGAATAAACAGTTCTCAGAGGAAGAAACACAAATGGCAAATAAATACATGAAAAAGAATGTTCAACCTCACTGGTCATGTGAAAAATGCAAATTTAAGCAACACTGAGATTCTATCTCACCCAAGAAAGAATGACTATCATACAGAAATCAACTAATAACAGATGCTGGAAAGGCTGTAGGGAAAAAGGAACACTTCTCCACTGCTGGTGGGAGTGTAGACTGGTAAAACATTTTTGGGAATAAATGTGGAGATTACTCAAAAAAACTAAGATTAAAAGTGTCATTCAACCCAGCTATTCCTCTTTTGGGTATTTTTCCAGAAAAGTTGAAAACATCACAGTATAGTGATATATGTGCACCCATGTTTGTAGCACCACAATTTGTCACAGCTAAATCTTGGAAACAACCCAAATGTCCATCAGTTGAGAAATGGATAAAAAAAAAAGATGTAATATTTTTATACAAAGAAGTATTACTCCACTATAAAGAAAGGTCAACTAGAGGCTTTTATAGATGAATGAATGCAACTATAGGCTATATTCATTAGCAAAATAAATAAGACCCATATGTGTAAACATTGTATTGTCTCCCTAGTGTAAGGACATAAAAAGGTTGTTTAAAATCTGAAACATACAATAGATATAGAAAAGGGAAAGGAACTGAACAAAAGGAATAAACAATTTGGATGAGGGAAAGGAGAAAAAAAAGGAAAAAAGAGAACAGAAAAAATCATGTATGTATATACACGGGATAGCTAAGATGATTATACTACTAATTTTTATCAGTACATTGAAGCAGCAGTTAATGCTTAAAATTTTTACTTTGATCAATTTTACATGCTTATATCTGGTAATCTGAGCAATTATATTGAAGACAACAATATGCAATATAACAACCACCACTGAATACCTATCATCATCTTTCTTTTTGAAATTGTGTACTGTTTCTAATGTCTTATCTGCTATTTTTCTATTCTCTTTAAAATGAATTTTAAAAATAATAATAAAATTAAAAAATTGGAAAAAAAAAAAAGCATATATAACTCCCAACCTGCTAGACGTCAGATATGGGAGTTCATGTCACCTGAAATCACAAAATAAATTTCAAAGGACAATGAAGATTAGGAGTAGGAAAGGTTTGTTGGGAAACACAAATAGCTGATATGACAAGAAGGGTCCCAGAAATGAGTTACCACTGAACCTCTTTGCAAGGGGTAATTTATACAGCAAAGTCACAAATGTGGGGATAACACGGGTCAAATTATAATCAACCAATAAAATTATAAGTGTAGCCACTTAGTTAATCTGATCCAATAGGGAATCAGGTCTTGTAACAAGGGTACATGGAAAGAACAAAAGATTTGGGTGAAAGGGTGGGTCTAGATTCTCTGGCGACCGACCTGGATGACTAATGGCTACATGGATTTAATAGATTGGTTAGTACCAATTACAATGTAATCTCGAATTTTCGTTCATCCCTTAGAGAAGTATGCAAGTCTGGCCATTGTCATTTTAATCTGGAGGGCTTGCCTTTTTTCAAGTGCACCTTCAACTACAATTCTGATGTCTCCACCTTTTGATGACTTCCTTGAGTCCAGTGATGTCCCTTTTCAAATGCAGATTAATTTCTATCTAATTTTAGCTGCCTACAGTATTAGTACAGGCTTTATTTCAGACCAGGTGTGTGGGAAAGGGGGAATATGAACTCAATGGCCCCAGCAAGTTTATTGCTAGACTTGGAAGGGACGTCTCTGTAAGCAGAACAGAGAAGGTGTCTCTTACATGCTTATTCATTTATTTATTTGATACAGGGTCTCACTATGCAGCTCAGACTCATTGTGATCCTCCTGTCTCAGCCTCCCCAGTGCTAGGATGACCGGTGTGCACCACGACACCCAGATTCAGGGCCTGTACAGTGTGCCCAGGATTCCACGGCCAGCACAGGATGTGGTACCAGAGAACAAACTCAGGTCCTTATACTTACCAGACAGGTACTTAGGCTGCCAAGCTATCTCCCCAGCCCACTAATTAAACACTTTTAAATACTGTTTTTTGGTGAGCTTTTGAAGGAGAGGATTGGAGAAATGGCAGACTTGTGGCTTGCTGCTGCATCTTCTGTTTTCTGGAATTTTTTTATAGACAGAGTCTTGCTATGTAGTTATGGATGGACTTGAATTCACTGTGTAACCCAGGCTGGACTCAAACCCTCAGTGATCTTCCTGCATCAGCCTACTAAGTGCTGTGTGTCTTAGTTACTTTTCCCATTGCTAAGACAAAATACCCAATAACCAAAGTTAGAGGGGGAAATGTTTATTTAACTCACAGTTTGTAGAGATTTCAACCCATAACTAGCTGGCTCCAAGGTAGGGTGGTTTGGCAGGCAGTCATTACAGAGGAAAAACAGTTCATGGCAGGCAGAAGGTAGCAAAGCAAGCAAGGGACAAAACGAGCCTCTTTCTGTCCCTTATACTGTATCCAGGCTACTAGGATTAGAGCAGTGCCAACTGTTAGGTTTTTTGGCATAGCAGAGAGGCAGATGAAAAAGAGACCTTTATTTAGGACAGAGAGGACTGCAGGAAAATGACAAGGGATACTCTGACCTGAGGCAAATGTAATGGATCAGGACTCAGGGCTTCCCAGGCA